GGGGTGGGGGGAAGCGGGTACCCGAATTTGACAGGTACCCGCTCCAACTTCCGGTCTGATGGCCTAGGCGACCGGAAGCAAAAAGGTGCCCTCCCTCTCTCTCTTTAGTCTTTGGGACATGTGATAGGTCCCAGAAGACTAAAGGACCATTCATGAAGCGCAGCGCTTCTCGCACATGCGCAGTGGGTACCCGGCTGTGAAGCCGCAAGCTGTCACAGCTGGGTGCCCACACTGAAGATGCAGGCGCCTGGAATAAAGGACGGCTGGTAAAACGGGCTGCAGGGGACACACCACGGGACCGAGGGACAGGTAAGTGGCTGTTATTTAAAAGTCAGCAGCTACAGTTTTTGTAGCTGCTGACTTATTTTTTGACATCATGAGTGGAACTCTGCTATAAGGTTGATAAAATTTTAAAGTACCTGAAAATAACAATGTGGATATTTTCTTATGCTGTAACCTTGCAGTTGTTTTAAATAAAGGCTAACCATAAGGCCACGGTGCGGGGTCATGTTATACAGCTGGCGGCGGTCCGGAAGCGGTAGCGCCGACTTTTGGAGCTTCATTCTCTCCTGGCTTTTGCGGATGCGCGCTGGAAGTCGTCTCCATCCGCAGCCCATAAACGCGCTCGGGACGCTCTGGCGACCGAATAGACCTACTTGCCTCTTCGGAGGCGGAACGGGCTCTGCGTTGGACCAAACACAAATTTTATTTCCTGTGCTAATAAACCGGGCCCGATGCTGGCTAGGAAGCTCAATTCCGTGGGAAAACCCCATAAACCAATCCGACTGCGACTTCCCGCAGGTGGATGTACTTCTAATCCCCGGCAGATTGTTTCCCGATTTTCGGACTTCCTTTCGCGCCTTTACACTACGCCTGATCCCTTCCCTGTGGCTCAGGCAGTGGCATTTTTTCAAGATCTTCGTCTTCCGGGATTATCCGAGGCAGCACAGGTGGCCCTCAATGCCTGTGTTACCGTACCGGAAGTGCTCCAAGCTATCAAATCTTTGAGGTCCACCGCGGCCCCAGGTCCTGATGGCTACTCCGGTCTCTATTATAAGAAATTCTCGGTCCTGTTGGCGCCCTTCTTGGCTGACTATTTCAATGAGTTACGACAGGGCTCCTTGCCCTCCCCCGGTTCGCGCTTAGAGCACATATAGCCATGATTCCTAAGACGAACGAGGATGTACAGGAACCGCAAGCCTGCCGGCCCATTTCTCTTCTTAATGAAGACCTGAAGATATTGGGCAAGATTCTTAGCTCTCGCATCAATAACTATTTGCGTAGCCTGGTCCACAGGGACCAAGTGGGGTTTATCCCTGGGAGGCAGGCGGGTGATAACGTTCGTAAGGTGGTCCATCTTATACATCTTCTGCAACAGCGGAAAATCCCGGGATTCTTACTGTCCTTAGACTTTTATAAAGCTTTTGACTCTATCCTGGGAATATCTGCGGTTTGTGCTGTCTCGTTGGGGTTTTGGGGATTCTGTCCTTTCTTCGATTCAAGCCTTGTATTCGTCTCCTTCGGCCTCCGTTAAATATGCTGGGTATTTCTCGAACCCCTTTCCTATTGGGCGAGGGACGAGACAGGGCTGCCCTTTGTCCCCGGCGCTTTTTGTACTGGCGCTTGAGCCGCTGGCTTTAGCGCTCCGGACCGATTGCAATATATCGGGGGTTTCATACGCGGGACAGGAGTTTAAGCTAAATCTTTTTGCGGACGATGCCCTCTTGACTCTTACTAAGCCTCTGACGACGCTTCCTAATCTGCAACAGGTTCTTGAGCGCTTCTCTTTGATTTCGGGTCTTCGTATTAACTTAGATAAGACTGTCGCTCTTAATATTACTTTGGATTCCGATTTGGTTTCACGCCTTCAATCCTACTTCTCTTATAAATGGGCTTCTTCCTCTCTTGAATATTTGGGCATCCGCTTGACCCCCACCTATGACTCCCTCTTTGCTGCGAATTATTACCCATTGCTTAGTTCTTTATCTTCTCTTCTGCATTCCTGGCAATTTCCGCACCTGTCTTGGATAGGGCGGGTTCATTCGGTGAAAATGACCATCCTGCCGAAATTGTTATATTATTTTCGTACTCTCCCGGTGCGGGTTCCCCCTCATTTCCTTCGGTTGCTTCAGGCGAAGCTTATGCGTTTCATCTGGGCCAATAAGCACCCCAGAGTATCTAGAAATACGCTCTTTGCTCATAGACTCCAGGGTGGCCTTGGGGTGCCCAATGTAACTAAGTATTACCAGGCGAGCTAGATTGCCCCGCTGTCTATGTTGCACGCTTCCTCTGACGTCCCTCTCTGGGTCTTGCTGGAGCTACCTAACTGTGCCCCTATCCAACCGTCGGCGCTTCTATGGCTTCCCCCTGCCCTGCGCCCTATATCGCTGAGCCCGATGTTGCTCCATGGCTTACGAGTCTGGGACTCGGTACGTTATTCCAGTGGCCTGATGTCACCCTTTCTGCCTTTGCTTCCAATTGTTAACAACCCTCTTTTCCCACCGGGTTTAGATCACCCAAGGGCGTTCTCTTGGTGGGTGACTCATGGGTTTTCGCAGGTACGACACTTTTTGGTTTCTCGGTCCTTCCCTACCTGGGATCTTCTTCGGGAGTCCCGGGATGTTCCCCTCGGCGGAATTTTTTCAATACCTTCAATTGTGGCACTGGCTACTCTCGCTGCGGGGCACTTCTTCTTTTCCATACCAGAAATCGGCCTTTGAACAGCTTTGCCAGCAGCGCCCGGGCGCCCCGGGCCTTATCTCCCTTCTTTATGCAGCCTTGAACAGACGCCCGTCGCATACTTCTCTTTCATATGTTGTTCAGTGGGAGCGTGACCTGGGGGTGGATGTGGATCCGGAGGACTGGAATAGGGCCTGGTCACTCATAGCTAAATGCTCATTCAATACCACCACGCTGGAGGCAACCTATAAGGTATTGTTTCGTTGGTATTGGGTTCCGGCTCGTTTGGCCCAGGCTAATCCCGCTTGTAGTGATCGATGTTTCCGGGGTTGTGGCCATCGTGGCGATGTCTTGCATATCTGGTGGTCATGCCAGAGACTGGTCCGTTTTTTGGTCTCGTGTATTTGGCCTCCTTTTCACATTGTTTCATCTATCCATACGCCGGGATGCTCGGTATGCCTTGCTTCATTGCCCCATACCGGGTCTCTTTGCTCATCAGCAGAAGCTGGCGTCCTATTTGTTTCTGTCGGCCACCAGAACAATTGCTCAGGCCTGGAAGAGTCCGTTTGTCCCTTTTCAGGGGGTGCAGGATCGTATGACCAATATGATGCTTAATGAGCAGATGTCGAGCATATGCAACGACTCACAATGTAAATTCTCGAAAATATGGGAACCATGGTTGCACTATGCCTTTCCCACGCTTCCTTTGGCTAGTATGGGGATGTACTGGTGTTAGGCACTGGCGTTTGATGGTGGCGCTCTTGGATCTCTGCCCCCTCTTCTCTTTTTTTTTTTTTTTTTTTTTTTTCTCTCCTCTTATTTCTCTTCTCTTTCTTTCTCTCCATTTCTGTTAGTTTTTTTGGGTGATAGTTGACAGTTGCCTTTAATTGCAGTTAGAATTTCATTACTGTCATTGTAACTTATGTTCCATTGATAGCCCCTGCGTGGGCGTACCTTCTGCCTTGTTGAAGTTAGAGCACTGTTTTTCTTTTATTATTATGTTTTTTATCTTATCGGTGCAATTGATAGCCCCTGTGGGGGCATGTTTTGTCGCCTCTGTTTTATACTGCTTAAAACTAATAAAAACTATTGAAATACAAATAAAGGCTAACAATACCACCTGAGAGAAAAAAAAAGCAGAATCTACACATTCAAAACTACACACAAGATATAAAAAATGTACAAAATGTGTAATTACACAAAAAATTACTTTCAAGTCAACTTTACAATAAGCCAAATGCCCTCTGAAAAAATACTATAGTTTTCCTAACTGCTGATACCCCATGTATATATTCTTTGCACTTCTTCTGGCCACATGGTCTGTGCACAGTCCACAGCATGGTTACAGCTACCTATGTTTGTATGCAGCTAGCATTACTAAAAATATGTATGCATACTGTGTTCGGTCCTCAACACAATCTAGATTTGGGCAAGAAACAAGTGACACAGTGTAACCAATGCTCTGCATTACTATTAAAGTGTTACTAAACCCACAACAGTAAAATCAGTCTGTATATGCAGTAAAGCATGCTTGTTATACTCACTGTGGAACCTAAGGAGTTAATCCTCTGGATTGTGGAAAAACTCTGTTTGATCCTGACTTCTCTGATCCTCCCCTTCTTCCAGTGTCCCTCTTTTATCTCTTGATAAGACATATCGTGTGGAGACACTCTGCACATGCTCCGTTTGGTGTGTATTGCTACAGAGGTTTTATTTTTCTTTGGAGAGTACATGCGATCAGCACAGGGCCAATCAGCACTGTCCAGACAGAGGTCAGGGGTTCTGCATCCTCCTAGTGCAAAATGAAAACTCCTCCTACACGCTTTAACCAGTGCTCTGCTGGACACTGATAGAAGTCACAAGACTGCTCTAACTGCTGACGAGAGAAGGTATTTAGCAGTTTATATTTACTAAAAAAAAATGCACTTTCATGATCTGTGTACTGTGGGAGACCAGATATAGTGAATGTAGGGTCCGGGGTTTAGTAACACTCTAACAGACTCTGTAGTAGATGTAACAAAAGAGCAGGATAACAGGAAACATAAGGCACCTTGTTTCTACATTTACAGTGAACATGTGATAGGTCCCAGAAGACTACATGACAATCTACTCTGCCTCCAAAAAAAGCAGTCCTTGGTGCCTGAGCAGCCAATTGCCAGGCCAGAGTGCTTTCACGTGGAGGTGTGCTCAGCACCATTCAAGTACTCACTCCCAGAACTACTGTAAATAAATATAGTATAGTTTGTGTTGACGATACCAGACACAAAGCCAAACAGCAAAAGAGTGATATAACTGAGCAGAACATCTACAGATTGCCTTACCCTTCCACAGACATTACAGGAGCCACTTCAATAAATGTTTGTCTCCAACAATGGTTCCCATGAGGCCCTAAAAAACGAGTCTTTTCTGAGGTCAAAACATTTGACAGCTGAAGTCTTGCCACTCCAAGCAGAAGATCCTTGGCAAGTCTATCTTTGTGCCAAAACTCAACCAGAAGAGGCAATCTGTAGAAAAAGGAATACGTTTACAGATGTAAGCTCACATTTTTAACCGCAATTTAAACATTATAGTTAGTAAAGCCAGTGGTGTAAACTATTGTCAGAAAAAATACAATTTTTGTACTTTTTTTTGTACATTGAAGAACACAAATGTATAGACAGGAAGGTTATACTGCCCCTACAGGAGTTTAGGACACAGATAAAAATGATAATCTAATGCCCATAAAACACTTTCTCTAGCCAGCATGCCTCAGTTTTGTTGAAAAGACTCCTCTCTCTCTCCCTCTCCCTCCCTCAAAAAAGATTTTCGGTTTTTACATTAGTACAAAAATGTTAGTTTCTTTTTCATCCACTGGAGACACTGGAATGCAGAAAACAGTCAAGAGATCAAAAAGCAGTCCAATTGAGGGGAGGGCAACAGCCACTGTGTTATCTGTCTATGTCTGCTACCCCTCTCTGCTAATCCCTCTACTGGCTTTCACTCACTCAAGGAATAAAATTCAAAAAACTAACAACTTACAAAGCCATCCACAACTCTGCCCCCAGCTACATCACCAACCTGGTCTCAAAATATCAACCAAACCGCTCTCTTCGATCCTCCCAAAACCTTCTGCTCTCTAGTTCCCGTGTCACCTCCTTTCATGCTCACCTCCAGGACTTCTCTCCGTGCTTCTCCCATCCTATGGAATTCTCTACCCCAATCTATCCACCTTTAGATGATCCCTGAAAACCTCTCTCTTTTTAAAGAAGTCTATCCTGCTTCCACCTAGTAAACTGCCATTTATTTCCTCCATCAGCTCATCCCCCCCACAGCTATTACCTTTTGTATCACTCAACCCTTCCTCCTAGATTGTAAGCTCTAACGAGCAGGGCCTTCTGTTTCCTCTTGTACCAAATTGTATTGTAACTGTAGTGTCTACCTTCATTTTGTAAAGCACTGTGCAAAACTGTTGGGGCTATATAAATCCTGTATTATAGTAATAATAATAATAATAATAATAATAATAATAATAATAATAATAAATCAGAACTACTTAAAGGACCAGTGCATGATTCTGAACCAGATGAGAAGACCCCTGCAACAGAAGGGAAGCTGCCAGTGACCAAAAGAAGGCCACAAAACATTAACATGATGCTCCAGACTAGGAACTAAGATCACACCAAAAAAGGAATAATTCCACCCAAGAACACAAAGACTGAACAAGAAAAAGACTGAAATCAAAGCCCAGGAAGGATATAACTTATCTGAAAAGGAAGAAATAGACCTACGATGTGATGTGGCCAACAGGAAAAAAACATAAGAACAAGTACTCAAGACAACAGGTCCTCAAATGGACAAAAACCGGTCTAAAAAAAAGAAGACGACTAGCTAGTCTACAACTGAAAGCTTTATCCTTACACTCCCAACCTATAGGCAAGGGCAGATAAGGTCTTTCAAATGTGGCACTCAAAATAAATGTAAAAATTTAAAACTTTTCACAGCATTATATCCGGTAGGGATAGCCAAGCGACTCCTGAGAATGGTAGAGAAGCAAGCAGCAAGCCCCAGCCCCTAGCAAGCAGATTTCCCCCTGGGGCAGGTGGAAGAGAACTCCAAAAGCACACACGCACACGCACACACACACACACACACACACACACACACAGACTAGTAGTAGGTCATGCCAGGGACTTCCAAGTTCATAGAGGCCATATTGATGTTACACGACCTCAAGCTCAGGCCCCCCAGAAACAGAGGATGAAGCCAAAAAGGGGGCTGAGAGCCAATGTGAGAAAGAAGAGAAGACCATGCTAAAGCATAACTATAGCTTTGGCATTACTTTAAATAGTTTGTTAAGGCCAAGCTGGCCCAAACAAATTATTTTCCTGTACTAATTACTGCAGCCGCTGTGAGTGCTGTATAGAATGAATGAGTTACAGTGTGCTTAGAGCCTCTGTGGGCAGAATGCCCTGGTAGATTAGCACAAACAGCTAAGAAGCCCGCAGTTGACATGGATGACTTTGTCAACATTGAAGGCCTTGGATGGAGCTGCTTATCCTTATGACAAAGTGTCAGGTGAAGGGAATCTAAGAGTCCAGACCTGGTAAAGTTGTGTGAATATTCATGTCAATTAACTAATCATTTGCAGGTGACAATTAATTAGTAAAACAGATTTTCTTTTCACATGACTGGAAAATTGAAGTGAACATTCTCAAAACAGCCTTGCCATATCTAACTCCTCAGGATCCCTTTGGGTATTCACTGTTAAGTGTATGAATATTTTGGAGGCCCTCAAAAGAAGAAAAGGGTTTATGTCTTCACGAAGGGAAGCCCCTGGATTTTTCCATGGGAAGTTCAGATAGCTAATAGGAAAAGGCATATGCTGTATTTTTATTATGTTCATTTGTTTCCGAAAATACATGACAAAATGATGTAGATGAAAACAAATGTGCCAGGAAATCATTAATCAAAGAACAGCAGCAGTCTGTCCACTTAAACCCTTTGCAGAAGAGTATGGATCCAAGAAAAAAAAACGCCATCCCAGTCATTGGTCAAAACAAGTCACCTGAATGTGCACAGATTAGTGACATGTGAAACATAAAAATGTCTATAACACCTCTGCTCTTCAGTCCAATAACAGAACAAACACAAAAGTGTGGCACATTCACTGGTGCTTAACTGCTTGTCAACCCGTCGCAGTGTTTTTACTGCGGCAGGGCGGCACCTGTACGCACAGCGCCGTCTTTTAACATCGCTGAGCAAAACAGGTAGGGGGCGCGCGTGAGGCCGTCCCGCCGACATGGCAGCGGGTGTCCATCACCGACTCCCAGCAGGTCATTTCCCGCCCAGGTGCCGGCGATTACAAGTAATCACTGACAGATAGCACGGCTGCATTGTTTACATTGCAGCTTCTGCTGTCATTTCAGAGCACGCTGAACCTGAGAGAAGACTTTATCTCTCGAGATCAGTGTGTTTCTGTGAAGTACACGCCCCAGCCCCCTAGTAAAACACTCCCCTCACACAGTTAACACTTTCATTACCTAATAAAAGTTAACCCCTTCCTCCCCAGTGCCATTAGTACAGTGTCAGTGTTTTTTTTTTTTGCACTGATCACTGTATTGGTGTCACTGGGAATGTCAGTGACCCCAAGTCAGTTCCCCCCCAGTGTCAAAATGTCTGCTGCAGTCCTGCCATAAGTCGCTGATCACTGTCATAAATCGTCATCATAAGTTGCTGATTGCCGCCATTATTAGTATAATAAAAAAAAAAAAAAAAATCCCAGTATCTTTCCCGCCATTTGTAGATGCTATAACTTTCACGTAAACCAATTAATTTACACGTATTGGGATTTTTTTTAAGCAAAGACATGTCGCAGAATACATTTTGGCAGAAATGTAAGACTAAATTTGATTTTTTTAAATTTTTTTTTTTACTGGACATGTTTTATAGCAAAAAGTCCAAAATATTGTTTTTTTTTCTCAAAATTGTCACTTTTTTTTTTTTATAAAAAAAAACAAAAAAAAAAAAAAAAAAAAAAAAAACACACAGGCAATCAAATACCACCGCAAGAAAGCTCAAATTGTGGGGGGAAAAAAAAGGATTTAAATTTCATTTATGTACCATATTGCATGACCGCGCAATTGTCCGTTAAACTAGCGCAGCGCGCGTATATAGCAAAAAAATGGCGTGTAAATTGCAGTATCTATACCATAGTTTGTAGACGCTATAACTTTCACACAAAGCAATCAATATACACTTATTGGGATTTTTTTTTTACCAAAAACATGTAGCAGAATACACTTTGGCCTAAATTTATAACCAACTTTGAGTTTACTATATATTTTTTTTTATAGCTGAAAATAAAAAATATTGGTTTTTCTTCAAAATTTTTGGTCTTTTTTTGTTTATAGCGTGAAAAATAAAAAGCGCACAGGTGATCAAATACCACCGAAAGAAAGCTCTATTTGTGTGAAAAAAAGGACGTAAATTTTTCTTGGGTGCAGCATTGCATGACCGCACAATTATCAGTTGAATTAGTGCAGCGCCGAGTAGCAAAAAGAGGCCTGGTCAGGAAGGGGGGTAGAACCTCAGGAGGGCAAGTGGTTAAATATAGGGTTGTAAATGCTCTCACATGAGGATAAGAATTCTGGTTACAATCCATAAAAATAGCAACACTAACAAAACGCAACTAGAACTCATTACCTTAAAAATGTCTCTTGAAGTTTTTGGGGCATGGCTGCAAAATCGAAATCACAGTAAGACTGAGGAAGAAAAACCTCCATATTCCTATGAACTTCCACTGGGGATTAGTCATAATAGGGGCTGCACTCCCAAAAAATGGGTACGAATACCTGGAGAGAAAAAACAAAACCAGTGAGTATGAGGATACAAAAAAAAATAAAAATATAAGCTTACTTTTTCTTAACATCTGCTATGGCCTAACCTTACAAACAAAAGCCTGCCCCTTGGATAAAATAAGCAAGGGTTGTCCGTGTCCCTGTTGGGAAGCTTTACACCCTCTATTTGTCCTGGGGAGCATTTTCATGGAGATTAAGTGAGAAAAAATCTAAACTTTTGAATTGCCAGGTATAGAACTCTTCCAACATCTCCAGTGACAACTGTGTAAGGCTAAATCCACACAGGTAACCAGGGGCACACAGTTTGCTGCATTCAGAGGCAGCAAAACACTGCCTCTGGATGCAGAAGCACTTTGATATGGCCATATTTAAACTGGCCAAAGAGTTGTAACCAGATGTCTACAGAAACACCGACCCTGGATGCACAGGAGTTTATTTACTAAAACTGGGGAGTGCAAAATCAGGTGAAGCTGTGCATGGTAGCCAAAAATCTTTTAACTTCAGCTTGTTCACTTAAGTTTTGACAAAAAAAATAGCTGGAAGCGGATTGGTTTCTATGCAGAACTGCACCAGATTTTGCACTCTCCAGTTTTAGAAAATCAACTCCACAGTATCCATGTCCAGGGTCGGTTGGGGGACTCTATTTGCATGAACTGCTCAGATGAGTGGTTATATGTGAGCAGTGGTGGCAACGGTCATTGATTTATACAAAGTACAAAATCTGACAGCTACTGCTGACAGTTGCTGCTTTTTGCAAGCAGTGGGGTTTATAAAACTGGTTCACTCAGAATATTGTGCACTCAAGCATGGAAACCTACAGCTTATAGATTTTACACCCCGGTCACATCGGGTGCAACTTGGCATTCGATTTGCATGCCATGCGACTTGCAAAGTCATATGCCAAGTTGCACCCTATTGTCCGCTATTACAGCAGTCACATCGGTGCGGTTCCGATTTGCTCAGAGCCACACCGATTTCTAAAGTAGTGCATGCATTACTTTTGTTGCGATTTGCATAGACATCTGTGTCAGACGTCCTTCAAATCGCAACTGAAATCAGAAGGTCACCTGATTTTGAAATCGTGCGACTTTACTGTAAGTCATACGATTTCAAAAATGGCTTTGATGTGACTGAGGGCTTAAGCCCCATGTACACAGGACACTACTGAACGATGGAAACTGACTGCTGGAAAACACAGGTTAAAAAAAAACTGTTTAGCCACGTCTGCATAATGCATTTATGAGCATTTGCTTTTAGAAGCGTTTTTAAAGATAAGCACACAAGAACCTCCCAAATGCCCAGAATGCACTGAAAAGTGGTAAATTATTAACTATTGCAGACTGTTTCAGAGAAATACGCAGAGTAGAAGCAGAGAGAGCAGTATGTGTTGAGAATAGCTTAGGTGTGAGTTGCTCATTAACATTGCTTTTGTTTCCAATGGTGGGAAGGTGTCTGGTGGAGTAAGTCAATAAGGCCACCTGGCAGGGGGTCTTCATGAGGAATTTGAGGTATGAATGGCCATTAACATATCTTTTGTTTCCAAGGGTGTCAGAGGTCTGAGGTGTGAATTGCTCATTACCATGTGTGACAAGCTTGGTAGGAACATCCTGCGTTCAGTGTTTGTCCATTTGAGTACCTTGAAAACGCTTTGCATGCATTTTTCATGATGCAAAAAGGCTCTGGACAGCATCGGGAACTGGAAGAGTCAAAAAAAATTTCAAACGCAAATGCTTATAAATGCAATTTGCCGTGTTTACAAGCGTTTTGCATTTGAAACGCTGATAAGACTGCTGAACTCAAGTTTTCTGTGTTGAAAGAAACAACTGTAAACTCAAATGCCTGTAAACGACTGTAAACGAAGATGTGTACATGGACACATAGGAAAACATTAGGGCGAGTTCACCCTGAAAAAAAAAACGCTGAACAGCTCCTAAACGTGAGTTTATCAGCTGCAGTGTACATGAGCCATTAGGGTCCTTTCACACGGGCCATCCGTTTTTTTCATCAGTTCAGTCACATTTTTTCCAAGAAAATATGTATCAGTTCACATCTGTTTTTCATCCGTTTACGTCAGTTTTGCATCTGTTTTTCATCAGTTTACATTCGTTTTTGAACATCCTTTACCAATGCAAAATTGGACCATATGTCCGTTTACATCTGTTTTCCGTCCGTTCCGGTTTTCTTTTTAGGGAAGAAAAATAGGGTTTTCTTCCCTTCAAAAACAGATGTTAATGGATGCGGACATTAATGGATGTAAACAGATGATCATCCGTTTACATCCGCTAGTCCATAGAAATATATGGGTGTCCGTTTTTCATCCATAAATGGACAGATGAAAAACAGACAGAACGCCCATGTGAAAGAAGCCTTGTTGCTAAAGCTTAAATTGAACAAGCTGAGGTTAGAAGCGGATTGGCTACCATGCACAGATGTACCAGATTCTGAGAGAACCAGCTTTAGTAAATCTCCCCCCGTGTGCAGGCAATGTTTAGAACCGCCATCAAGATTCTCACCATCAGCCCTATGAATGTAGCCTAAGAATAGATATCCCTTCCTTTGGAGAGATCTCCTCACACTGCCTGTTGTGCTTCAAGGAGCAGATAGTAATAAAAAAAAATAATGACAGGGGTGTTAACCATTACCTACTTTATCCAAAAAAAAAAAAAAAAATAGCAAGCTAAGCTTTAGCTATACTTTAACCCCAAATATATATGGGCAGACTGTGATTAGCAATCATCACTGGGGGAGTTCTCCCATGTGATACCCACAATACCTGACTGCTGTATAAATCCAGCTTACTGGTGGAAGTGCTGCAGGGCACCTAAAGCAGAGAAGTGAGTACAAAGTTTGATCAGCAGGTCTGCCCTGGTATTTAGAACAAGAGAGATGCAAACCATTTAAATTAAACGATAGATGTGAGAAAAAGGAAACAGACATTGAGGTAGAACAGAGGCTGCTTATGTTTGCCCCTTTGTTTTAGCCCAAAAATACTAGCTTCCTGGCCATCACACTGAACAAATTGCATCCGTACTCAAAGTCATTGACTTGGCACAAAGGTGTGAATTTGGAGCCCTGACTTCACTTTGACTTTCTAAGTTGCAAACTTATTCTGGGTTAGAGTTTCATAAAGGCCATAAAGTGGTATAAACCCCAAATCAAAAATGTAACAAATTGCAGTTTACCAATCCTTAGACGTAGTGGCTGCATTTGTTTACTTTTGTTCCCCTTGGTTTTCACCTGGTGATTTGGCTAGTAACACAATCCCTGCCTTAGAATGCTTCCACCTCTGGATGAGGGAGCAACACAGACACCTTTGGACAGCAGCATTGTTAATGTGGGGGGGAGTGGAGTGTTAGATGTACTAGCAATTTTAGATACACTAACAAATTGAGGCCAAACTCCAGAACACACTTAATAAAAGAGGTACAGCAACATGTTTTTTTCCTTTTGGGACAGAGGTTTTACATAAATGAATAGTAGCTAAGCATGGTAAGCACCCATGTCAGTGTTAACTGGTTTGTCTCTCTAACCGCTACATCTACAGGACAACTTGTTCTGTTGAAAAACAGACTGTCTGCATCACCAGGTAAAAATAAAGAAAAGAAAAACCTAAAAATGGAAACCACATCTAAGAATTGGTAAACTGCAATATAATAAAATGCTTGCTTTTGGTTTTAAATTCTTTCAGAGAAAGAATTTTCACAAAAAGTTCAGTAATGGGAGTCCCATATTTTAATCTGCACAGATATTCCCCTTAGCGGCTCTGTGTAGTAGGATACAATATGTAAGTGTTAGAACCTTAGTATGCAGTTTACAGGGAACCCAACATCAACATTATGGATACTTCGAAGGTCAAGCGAGAAGCAGAAATGGTGTGCTGCTGGTGGAACTGCTATCTTCTGTCCAGAAGTAGATTCAGAAAGACTCCGGACAGCTTCTGGAGCATTCTGTGGTGGAGGTGGTGGGGACTGAGCACCTGAGATGAAAAACAGAACCCTTAATACCAACATAATGGAATCACTCAAAATTTTCATCATAGGTTATTTCATCCAATGGTTGTGTAAAAAGAATCAGATGTAAAACTAAATCCTGTTTGTCAAGAAAGTTTACACTGAGAATTTTCAATAAAAGGTTTCATCATATGCTCAGTCTGAATTGTCCAGGTTTGTAAGAGGTCTACTTTAATTAATGACTCTTTAAACTGGCATGGTACTGTAAAAAAGAAGTCAATAGTTTCTGAAGACAAAATAATGGACAGAATGAACTCTGATAGTGGACGATTGGCCATCTCCCCTCCACTTCAGCATACTGAAAGTCTCAAAAGTCAAACAGAATTGTTATAGAAAGTAAGAGTGACACTTTTAGCACCATTTTAACTGTAGCATATAATGCGATCATGGAGTTAATGGACAGTGTGCAGTAAAGGAAACTTCTACTGACAAATGCATGCAATGCTGTCATTGCTCACCTTCTGAAAATGCTAACAACATTGCTTTGGGCTTCAGTACTTTTTAATCATGCACGATGACATTAACAAGTCACATGATCTGGAACAGGAGAGGCCATAATTCTGATCTGTATACCTGTAACAGGTCGGAGAGTACTCTGAAAAAGAACACACAGGGGGCGCAAACACACAGTGCATTACCTAAGATTTAATAAAAGGAACCATATAGCTGATTGAATACTCACAAGGACAATGGAGAGTAACATGCATAACAACAATCTGATGATCAACCAGTGTGGCAACTGAGGAAGGGGATGTGTCCCTGAAACGCATCAGCTTGCTAACAGTTTGGTCACCTGTTGCCACACTGGTTGACCATTGGAGATTGTTATGCATGTTACTCCTGTCCTTTGTGAGTATTCAATCAGCTATTTGGTTTGCGCCCCCTGTCTGTTCTTTTGCAGTATATGGATTGGATACCCCTGTCTGGAGAGGGCTGAACCACTGAGGCATTGTTCCAGAGGAAATATAGATCACACGCATTATCTTGGTCTGGGGACTCTCCTTTTGAGCGTTGGAGTAGTTTGTTCTCAGACAGAACTCTGGCTCAACCTGACAGCCAGAAAAATTGCATTTTCAAAGCAGGTAAGCAATAGCAGCATCTATATTTCTCTCAGCAAGCTTTTGTTTTAAATATTTACAACTTCAGGCACAGCATCTCATTCAAACTAAAGTCCCCATAAATTATTATTTGTGAGACAGCAAATTCACAGAATATACAACAATAAGAATCAATTACCAGGAAAAGGAAACTCAAATGGTGCTGAAAACTCTGGCCTGGTCTGTGGCTGAGAAGGAGCTGCCTCTGCTTGGACAGACTTTAAGCTTTCCATATCATTGTCGGTGTCTTCATCTTTGGTTGGAGGGGAATCACTAAATATAGGCTGAGATGGCCCATCTTTTGTGTTCTTTTGAGGTGTCGATGGGTCTTTCCTCGCCACAACACTTTCACTCATTTCATTAAAATGGTGTGAAGACTAAGTAACAAATAAGGACATATTTAAAATATGTACAACAGCATTATTTTTCCAAATTAATAATCAAAGTACACCACCTAGGACCAATTACCTGTAGGCTGGCCTGCTTTTGGAGACTTATAGATACCCCAATTGTTGGGGAACTTTCCACTGGCACAGATACCATGTTCTGCTTGGTCCTATTAGGTGGAGTGAGAATGAAAGCACCTTCAACAACTACTGGGTGGTGCTCTATTTCTGTGCTGGCCTTCTTTAGCAGTCCTGTCAAAGGAATATCTGTACTGCCAAGAGACTGATCGCCACAACATAAATGAATCTTGGGGGGGGGGGGGGGGGGAACAAAACAAAAGAGAAAACATTTTAAAATATAATCAAGTATAAGCAGCAGACTATAAGTCTTGGATAAAATGATGAAGAAGGCAAATCCTTTATATGGAAGACTGTACATCCATTAGGGAGATTTCCTCTTCCCCACTGTCCTGTTGACTACTGTCATGAGGAGAAGATAAGAGGAATTCTCCCAAATACCAAACACAGGAATATGTAAAAGTCAGAATAATTTAAGTCTTGTCCATTCTATCAAATCTTTTACTGGTATTACCAAATTTGATTTTGTGATGGTAATAGTGCATTGCAAGCTAAAATGCTGGTGGTTTCCATACTATATTCTGACTAATATGCAAAATGATTTTATTTTATTTTCATTGGCAAACAGATATTTCCACCCAGCACTACAGGAAGCAATTTATATCTACACTGTTCCTTAACGAGACAGAAACTTAAAAGGAGGAGCTCCAGACATTTTTGTGTTTATTAAAAGTCGGCAGCTACAAAAACTGTAGGTGTGTAACACATAGGTGTTAGGAGAGAGGAGGGGGCAGTTTTAAGAGTAGTTAGGATGAAGTTGGAATTCCACTTTAAGAATCACTAATTCACAGATGCCTCTGTGTTTCATGAACAGTCAAGAAGCAGGGTGGAAAACTGGTTCTTGAGACTGGACAATCTAGAAGAGGCCACAAAGCATCCCCCTAGCAGTCTGATCAAGTTGGAGTACCAGATCCACCTGGTCTTGTCCAGAGGAGAGAGGATCACCAAAATGCCCTCCATCGCATATATAGGGGAGGAAAGGAGTAGAACAGGCTGCGGGGATGCCACAAAGTCACCAAAGAAGACACTGCTTCTGCTAAAGGATCCCCTAATCTTAAGACAAACCTGTTCAGTTTGTTGTTGCTCTTGGAGGCCAAAAAACACACTTCCAGCACCCAGGTCCAGAAGCTGCTGGCTTAGGAAGTCTGCTGCCAATTATCCACACCAGTAGTGTAAACAAGATTGGAATGTGAAGTACTGCCAAAGACAACCAGATCACAAAAGGTACAGAATTTTAACTGGGAGATGTGATTTCTCCAGTGTTCAAGTCCCATGCACTTACAAGGTGTCCTCCCCCAGCCCGACAAGCTGGCATTTGTCATGAGGATCTTTCAAGACATTGGAAGGAAGGAAGGAGGTAGTTGACTCCAGAGCAGGATTCATGAGTCACCAAGCCAGGGATATACTGGTCTTCAGTGCCAGGCAAATCTATCTGTCCAAGAACTGGACTGAATTGTCTCATGACAACAGGATGCTGGGTTTAGAGATCTTGAGCAGAACTGGGCCTTTCTCATGCAAAAGTAAAGAATAAGATGACTCTTAGATTGAAGAGTCAGAGTCTGGTAGCAGAGTTTGAAGTTTCTCAAAGGGAAGGAAAACTCTGGCTTGAGCTGTGTTAAGGATTAGATGCAGAAATTCCAAGTGACTGGTAAGTTCCAGCACTGGGTTGAGAAGGTTCACGATCTTCACCAAACCCCTGCAAAGATTTGACAGTCTGAACTATTTTGTCTGTCAGAAACTGTGCTGACTACTCCCTCAGCAGAAGGTCATCTAGGTATCCAACAATGGGATACCATGGGAGAACAATAGGGCTGGCACCGAAGCTAGCACCTTGGTCAATACCCGAACTGCAGAAGATAGGCCAAACTTGCAGGACCAAAAACTGGAAGTGCAAAGAACCCAGATCAATGCAAAGCAGTCAATGATGCACTAGAAAAATGGAGGCATGGGAGGTACATCGCCTTGATGAAGGAAGGCTATGACAGACCTGATTAATTGATGCAGAAATTCTGGGCCTGAATCTTTAGGGCCTTTAAGATTCAGAATGTGGCAGAGGAATCCTTTTGGTTTGTGAACTGTGCAAGTGTCAAAGAAGAGCCCTGGAAACTGTTCCAGGGACTGGGGCAATGATTTCCTGCTCCAAGAGATCTGCTAGACTCAAATCGAGATCTGCTAATCTGTGCAGTAATAGCTACATATAGGGACCAGTTCAGCAGTGATGTATAGGGATCTTGACTGAAGAATAAAAATGGTAGCTAGCAAAAGTTTAAACTTTCTACATTTCCACATCCATCCTTCTAGGACGTCAGCAAAAAAACACAAGGTATGCTTGGAGCAGGCGGGATTATACTAGGTTAGCCTAAATTATTATTTTTTTTTTTATTTGCCAGTATCCTACCCTTCTATAGATGGCAGTATAACCCATCAGTCTCTGAATTCCTGTGTCTCTCAAAGAACAAGAAAGAAAGCGGCTTATCCCTTTTTGGTTGTAATGATGCAAAAGACAATGACTGCTGTCTTTTCATCAGACAGCTAAACTCTCCAAAATCTCTGGAGTTGGGCATTCAAAAGTGGCCTCTTGGTGAATGGCATAACCCACCTACAAGCCACTAAACATAAAAGATTTGCTAAGCCAAACAGTACACAACTGCATTTGTTGACTTTATGTTGAACTAACCCAAGCATTGCATGCACCAGACCACAGAACACTATATTAAAATTGGTTTCCCTTGCATTCTATCATATGAGAATAGGTTGTAATTTGTCCCCTTCTGCTATCGGTGTTTTCAAGGAGAATACTCTGAGCTTTATGTATAACTATTGTGTTGTTATGCACAATTATTGCCTGGTCGTGTTGGCCATAGCAGCTCATTTAAAAATCCAGGACATGCACCTTGACCATTGTGGGTTGTTTAGCACGTGTGAGATTTGTCAATGCTAAAGTGAAGAAAACAGAAGTATACAATATGACAAACAGCACTCCATCATGAAACCTAATGGATTAAATAGGGAGTCTTACTTGAAGTTTAGGCTGAACAGAAAGATAAAGGCAGAGCACTTCAGTGTTACTACGGATTCTGACAGAGGCTCTCTCTGGCTCAAAATCTGGATTGACCAGGTCTGTAAATGGTTCATTGGTGACATCATTTCCCAGCAAGGAATAGTAGAAGAAAAATTCTGAATGGGGTTCAGGAAGTCTTAAAGTGCTAGGAATTAACTGTAGATCGGATGTAAGAATATTAGATAAACACAAAACATAATCTCACAAGAATTAAATTACAACATTAAAAACAGAAAAAGTCTTACTGAAAAATACCATCATCAGAGCCATGATGATCACATGCAAAATTCAGTAATCTTACAATACGACTGTTAATATACACTATATTGCCAAAAGTATTGGGACGCCTTCCTTTACACGCACATGAACTTTAATGGCATCCCAGTCTTCGTCCGTATGGTTCAATATTGAGTTAGCCCACCCTTTGCAGCTATAACAGCTTCAACTCTTCTGGGAAGGCTGTCCACAAGGTTTAGGAGTGTGTCTATGGGAATGTTTGACCATTCTTTCAGAAGTGCATTTTTGAGGTCAGGCACTGATGTCAGATGAGAAGGCGTGGCTCGCAGTCTCCATTCTAATTCATCCCAAAGGTGTTCTATTGGGTTGAGGTCAGGACTCTGTGCAGGCCAGTCAATTTCCTCCACCCAAAACCGTCTCATCCATGTCTTTATGGACCTTGCTTTGTGTACTGGTGCACAGTCATGTTGGAACAGGTAGAGGCCATCCCCAAACTGTTCCCACAAAGTTGGGTGCATGAAATTGTCCAAAATGTCTTGGTATGCTGATGCCTTAAGAGTTCCCTTCACTGGAATGGAGGGACAAAGCCCAACCTCTGAAAAACAAACCAGCACCATAATCCCCCCTCCACCAAACTTTACACTTGGCACAATGCAGTCAGGCAAGTACCGTTCTCTGGCAACTTGCCAAACCCAGACAAGTCCATCGGATTGCCAGACAGAGAAATAGGATGCATTACTCCACTGCTCTAGAGTCCAGTGGTGGCATGCTTTACACCACTATATCCGACGTTATACACTGCACTTGATGATGTAAGGCTTGGATGCAGCTGCTCGGCCATGGAAACCCATTCCTTGAAGCTCTCTTTGCACTGTTGTGCTAATCTGAAGCCACACAGTTTGGAGGTCTGTGATTACTGACTTTGCAGACAGTTAGAAAATTCTGCGCACTGTGTGCTTCAGCATCCACTGACCCAGCTCTGTCATTTTACATGGCCTACCACTTCATGGCTGAGTTGCTGTTGTTCCCAGTTGCTTCCACTTTGTTATGTTACCACTAACAGTTGACCATGGAAGATTTAGTAGCAAGGAAATTTCACAGATGGACTTATTGCACAGCCTATCATGGTACCACGTTTGAATTCGCTGAGCTCCTGAGAGCGACCCATTCTTTCACAAATGTTTGAAGAAGCAGTCTGCATGTCTAGGTGCTTGATTTTATACACCTGTGGCCATGGAGGTGATTGGAACACCTGAATCCAATGATTTGGAGGGCTGGCCCAATACTTTTTGCAATATAGTGTAGTCTAATTGGCTGCTTTGATTGACCACCCTTTTGTTAACAAATGAGACCAACAACTTTTTTGGGTTTGTCAAACTACAAGACACAGTAGAAAAGAACATAGATTAGGACAAGTAAAATGGAGTAGATAAAGTAGGCTCAAAACATGTCCAAGTCAACCTACTTCTCCTGAGAACAGCATAAACCAGGTAGATCAACCTGCTTTGGTTATGACACATTTGGACAGCTGTGGTAACATTACTAATAGAACATTTATTTTTGTTTGACTCAAAGATGGGTTTCTTCTTCTTCAAACATTCCCCAATTTGCTGGGCACCAATTTTGAAACTGCAGCTTTGAAAAATACCAGGCATGGGATGGATAGTACATGACCATTCTTACCTGCTCCAGTTGTGTGGCAAAGGCAATGGTTACGGACAAAACAAAGTAGTCCTTACAATGTTCCACAGGTCCAATCTGATGGTAGCTCTCTGCTTCATTTAAAATGGGTACAAGACTCTTAGGGTCAAGATTACCATGTGACACTGAAAATTGAAATAAAAAAAATGTAGTCTTTAAAAAAGGTAATAACACAACATCTAGGCTATCAACGTGTCTTTTCTAAGCTTCTGCTGTGTCAGGTATCCAAATGGGGCCTTTGGAATAAAAATTCAAACATCATGCCTGTTCAATTTCCATAGAGAAGCCAAGCATGTGTCTTTTGTGCATAGCATACAGGTTTATTTGTTTTGCTGTATGGAATCCTGCAATGCACAGTGTCAGTCTCTCCCATCTGTATCCGAAAATCTTGTTCTGCATATATTGAATACCTAATTTCCAAATTGCTCATTAAACGTTGTTTTGATCTCTGTCGGTTTTTCATCTGTGTCTCTAATTACCTGGGCAGAAAGTGAGGGGAAAATACTTCCGGATACAAGACAGCCAAAAAACCTGGCAGATTCTAACCCTTTCATTCTTAGGTTGGATTCACATTTGTATGTTGTGGTAACACATGTAAAAAGTGACTTTTTATTGCAGCACACAGGAGGAGATTTACTAAAACTGGTGCACACAGTATCTGGTGCAGCTGCGCATAGTAACCAATCAGCTTCTGGGTTTGTTGTCAAAGCCTAATTGAACAAGCTGAAGTTAGAAGCCGATTTGGTACGACGCACAGCTGCACCAGATTCGGAGTGCTCCAGTTTAGGTAAATCTCCCTCATAGTAATGCATGATACATAGTGCAGTGTCATTATGAATGGCACCCCAATGCACCTGACCAATAGCACGACCCCCTGTGTCTCAGCACACCACAGCAAACAAATGTGACATAGCTTTGTTTTCTGTGCTGCTTTAACCCCTTTCACTGCCAGCCCCCCCCCCATGCACGCACATGCCTCCGCCATGTCTTCTGGGCTCTGTTTGCCCATCTGTGGGCCCAAGGCTGACATGGCAAGTGAAGGGGAGAGAGGACACACATCCTCTCTCCACCCCTTCTTGCTATGACCTGGAAAGCAATGTGTATGACGATCTTCTTTGCAAAACATTCAGTGAAGCCCAGCTTTCAGACCCTGCATGTCTCCTTAAAAAGACCTGTAACCTAAAAATCATCAAATAGGGGACTTTGTCCCCTATGTAATGAAATAAAAGTTTTTGCAATTAAAAGAAAATATTTTTTAAGCTACAAGCACATAGCATTCAACCCCAAAAAACATTGAGAACCCCCCACCCCCACATGCATGCACGTACAAACGTAAACGCACAAGTCGGGGGCACCTGAGCATGAAAATACTGATTGCAATACACTTTAGTGTGTTTTTTACTGAACTTTTGCGGTAATATTGTGTGACATACAAAATTGGAACTACTACTATTTTATTCTCTAGGGTGTCTGCTTTCAGAGAATATAAATGTTTTGGGGGTTTTGTGTAATCTTCAGGCCTAAAATAATTTTTTAAACATGTGGAAAAAAAAAGGCATAAAACGGCTCTGGCAGCAAAAGGGTTAAAGCAAAAAGATGCGTATGTATTAAACTATCCATTGTGGTACACTGGCAGTTCATTTAAAAGGGATGGGCTGCCTACCAACCCACTACATGATACAAGTCAACGTAAAGTAATGAATTGCAAATGTGCATCTTCTATCTTACTGTGAGGGTACTTTAAATGTTTTCCCTATTGGATCTCTCCTCACTTTCACTCTTATTGACCCTATAAGAAGCGAGGAAATATCACCTTGTACAAAGAGGAGAATAACGCGGCAAAAACTCTAGTTTACCCTCTACCAACTTACTCAAGACAAAAAAAGAAAAACATTTAAATAAAATTGTACCTTTACTGCTTCGAGGAGGAGCCTCTTTAGCTTTAAAGGTCTCCGCTGCAGGCTTGGTGTCAGTTTCCAACCCAATGTTAATCTGCACTTCTGGCTTAAATTTTGTGTATTTGCTGCTTAACAAAGAATACCATTTTGGAGCCTGTGTTAAAACAAAAGGCTAATAAGTACTTGCATTAGTACAACCATTTATGCTTTTTATATACACAAAATAAAAACAATATGATTCAAATGCTTAAGAACAGAGTATTCAATAAAGAAAGTAGACAAGGTGGGAAAACTATTACACTTCAACAGAGTATCATCATTTAACAAAGACAAGAACGAAGACCGTATTCCACCACTTCTACAACAGAAACAGATACTACTGGAAAGGGAATTGGACTTTAATATTCTTACAGACTACGGACTCAGGGTTGGAGAAAGTTATGTACTACTTAGCCTGGAATTAGGGACACCTCCGGTGGCAATATCTCAAAAATAGTATTAAATAGAAAAAAAAAAACAAAAAACACACACACACACACCAATGAGAGTGGAAACAAAATGGTCACATATTTGCTAATTAATATATGCTACACACAGGATATTCAATGTAAATAATATAAAAAAAGACCAAAAGAAAAAAAGGATGAAACACCCTACAAAGGTTTGAAAAGGCATACATCATGCCATTGGCATACCCAAGATATAGATGAGAAATTCCTAAGTAATTTCAAGTGTTACTAAACCCAGGACCCTGCATTCACTATATCTGGTCTCCCACAGTACACAGAACATAGAAATGCAATTATTTTAGTAAATATAAACTGCTAAATACCTTCTCATGAGCAGTTAGAGCAGTCTTGTGACTTCTATCAGTGTCCAGCAGAGCACTGGTTAAAGTTTGTAGGAGTTTTCTTTCTGCTCTAGGAGGATGCAGAACCCCTAACCTCTGTCTGAACAGTGCTGATCACATGCACTGTCCAAAGAAAAAAAAACTCTAGAAATACACACCAAAACTAAGCATGTGCAGAGTGTCTCCACTTGATATATCTTATCAGGAGATAAAAGGGGGGCACTGGAAGAAGAGGAGGATCAGAGAAGTCAGGATCAAACATAGTTTTTAAACAATGCAGAGGATGAACCCCTTAGGTTCCACAGTCAGTATATCAAGCATGCTTTCCTGCATACACAGACTGATCTTACTGTTGTGGATTTAGTAACACTAAGTATATTTAGACACAAACCAAAAAATGTAATATATTGCAGTCAGTGTCTTTAGATGTGAATAGTGACTGAATGAGTTATTTTTTTATATGCTTTCCTTTTGGTGATCCTGCCGTAAAACACTTCCTGTCGTAGGATGACAACACTAACTCACCATACTCTATCGAGAAGCAGCACTGTCATCCTAGGGCTGGTAGAACTCTAGGACTACAGAACTCCTCTCCCCCTCCTCATTTTTATAACATGGGTGTAAGTTCACATAAGATAGCTAAGCAAGTTGATTAACTTTGTTTGAGATTTTAGTTCAGTTCACAGGAGTTGCCTGTATATTAGATTTCTGGCAAAACAAACATGTATTTTTCTATACTTGAAGAAAATGTTCTTCACCTGTAAAAAAGAAAAAAACAATTGCAGCCACCACATCTAAGGACTTGTAAGCTGCAGTTTATTACAGTTAACCTCATTGGTTTAAATACACTGTAATGCTTCCATACCTGCCTACCACTGAATGGTGGCGCTATAAAGTTATTGTCAAGAATCAGAAGAGCGGTGTCATTCAAAGAACGTGAGAGCGTTTCGATTAATGTTCATCTCTAATAAATATTACAGATTGCTAAATGATTACATGCAGCAATTACCTGTGGATGATCATCCCTGAATGCAGACAGTCAGTGTCCAGGGCCGATTATTCACAAATAATTGCTGCATGAGCGTTTACATTCAATCGGCCACAAATAACTGTGGGAACTGTCAGCCTCTCCCTAATTTTAATTGAGCTTCCCACACACATCTAAGTCACAGGGGAAACCCCACTGGGTCTTCAGCAGCTAATCACAAATGGCCCCATTTGCTAGTGTGAATGGGGCCTTAAAGTGGATCCCCCCCCTTTCTTTTTTTTTCTTTCTAACTCCTGCTTACCTTGTTGCAAGTTCTGCAAAGTTAAAGTGGAGTTCCACTCACGCTGTCAAAAAATAAAAGTCAGAAGCGACAAAAACTGTAGCTGCTGACTTTTAAAAAACAGCCACTTACCTGTCCCTCAGTCCCGTGGTGTTTCCCCTGCAGCCCATTTCACCATCCGTCCTGTATTCCAGGAGGCCGGCATCTTCAGTGTAGGCACCCGGCTGTGACAGCTTGCGGCTTCACAGTCGGGTACCCACTGCGCATGCACGAGTAGCGCTGCGCTTCATGAATGGTCCTATAGTCTTCTGGGACCTGTCTCGTGTCCCAAAAGACTACAGGGAGGGAGGACACCTTCCGCTTCTGATCACCTAGGCGATTGGACCGGCAGTGGGAGCGAGTACCTGTCAAATTCGGGTACCCGCTCCCCCCCCCCCCCCCCAAAGGTGCCAATCCTTAATGGGGAGCGGGGGAGCAGTCCTTAAAGCGGAACTTCCCCTTTTGGGTGGAGCTCCACTTTAATATACTCACCCACTCAGCAGATCCAGCATTGTCCTGCAGAACCCTCTTCTGCCACTGATTGGGTCCCACACTGCCATGTTCTTTGTGCCGTCAACAGCAGATTACCATCTCTGCCAGGCTCAGCTGGCTTGCTTCCCAATGATATGCCACTAGGCCTGCCCCCCCCCCCCCCCTCCTCCTTTGAATGAAGGTCTGACTTAAGCTGGGTATACACTAGTAGATTTTGTTCAAAAATTCCAATTTTAAGAACGTTCATTTGATTTTCTCCTTATTGGTAGGGTCAAGCTGATGTTTGTTTTCCACTGCAAAGAAAATTAGAAGGAACAGGATGGGAAATTTTTAACAGTGTATGTATTTTTTTTTTGTTTGCTGGTCTATTGGTTCCAAAATCAATTGTTAAAAGCAAAACAAAATTTTAAACTACTTTTGGATGACATTCCTCAAGCCGTCAAATGTATTGAGACTTTTCGTACTAATGTTCAAATGAGTATTTGTACGGACGTTCATTCGAAAACCTATTTGTGTATGCCTAGCTTTAGGGTTCACTTACAATTTCTTTGTGTTTAACCACTTGACCTCTGGAAGGTTTTATCCCCTTCATTTTTGTCATTCAGCACTGTGCTAATTTAACTGGCAATTGCTTGGTCATGCAACACTACCCAAATGAAAGTTTTTCATTTTTTTCACTCAAATAGAGCTTTCTTTTGGTGGTATTTAATCACCACTGTTTTTTTTTTTACGTTTTGCTATATACACAAAAAAATACCAAAAACTGTAGAAAAAAAAACCCATCTCGTTCTTAATTTTGGTTTTAAAATGTTGCAAATAAATAACCTTTCTTCATAAATTTAAGCCAAAATGCATTTTACTATATCTCTTTGATAAAAAAAAAAAAAAAAAAAAAAAAAAACATTTTTAAACATTTTAAATTTTTTTTTCTACATACTGTCATAAGAGTAGTTCAGTGTCACCATAGTGACTGTACTACTTTGGGGGGTGTTCTTTATCAGGGTATCGGGGATTTTTTTTTTTTTTTTTACACTGTTATTGCTTATAACATTGATGATCACTGTTACCGTGTGATTACCAGAAGTTTGTGTTCAACATTAAAATTAAAAAGCCGTTTTCGTTTATGGTGCCCAGATACAGTTACGCTCTGCTTTAAGGTCAATTCTTAAATTTGTGTGGTACTTTGTAAAAAAGCCATGGCCACATGCCTATGTTGAAAACAATGCTGAAACGAAATATTATCTAAAACTGAATAATGATAATATAATTACTTGTTTGATTTCCTGAGCCGCTCTTAAATCTAAAACCACATATCCAATTGATTCTTTTACAGACGTTAAAGTATCCAAGGCAAAGCACTGCAGCTTGATTGGTGTTCGTTGCAGCCTACAAGAACAAAAATGCATTGTTACAGGGACATTTTTGCCTAAGCTACATTTTAAACCCACACACATCAGAGACCTCTGCTATCCTACAAAATGACAAAAACACAATGTTTATTTCAATTTCAGTACAAAAATGTCCATTATCTGATAGATATTTAGTCACTCACCATTTTGAAGTCTGCAAATTTGATTCACTAAAGTTCCTAAATTAATACTGTATAACACTCACATACATATAACTCCATTTACCTGTTATTGGTGATTTTAAAAAAAGTGGAGCTTAGTACAGAAATAAATATTTAGTAGCCAGACTATAGTTTAAAGCGTTACTTCAAGCAAACCTGTTAAATACACAGATGAATTACATAAAGACTCATTCACACAAGCAGGAAAAAATGCTGCTATTAAAAAGGCATGTATCTGAATGCAGCTCCATTTTAGCCATTGGGGGAAAAAAAAAAAAAAAAAATAAAAAAAAAGAGACCCAAGCCAGCATTCAGAGAGAAGCTATGTGCCTGTATGTATAGCCAAAAGCATGTAAAACAGTAATAATTAGGAGCCAAAACATGTTTTTTTGTTTACTCTTGATTTTTCTGGCAGCTTCCAGCAGAAAGATCCAGCATAGACAGGTGTTTTGATACACCCATGTTCATGAAGCCTTAAAGCTGAATTCTGGTCAAAACTTTAAATTTTCCAAAGCAGTGCTGGCGCAGCCCCACTGTTTAAGTGCTTGTTTTGTCCAGGGGCTCAGGGAAAAGCTGTACTTACCCATTCCCCCGATCCTCATCTCATGCAGCCCCACTGCATGGGAATATAATAATTTTGCCCGGAATTCTTCTTTAAAGCAGAGGTGTCCAACCTTTTGACTTTCCTGGGCGACATTGGAGGAAGAAGAATTGTCTTGGGCCATAAAGTATACTAACAATAAGGATAGCTGATGAGCAAAATAGGATGTTCATTGGCTGCTGACACGGATGCGAACATGGACGAGTCTAATAAGCAGCCGCAGGCCTTGGAGATCGTGTTCCTGCTTGCAGTGTTTGTCCCGCAGCATCGCACATGTAGTGGGCAGAGATCAAGAGTCAGACCAAACCCAGCCCCAAAATTCAATTTCAGTGTAGAGGAGCCACTGAGGAAGGCGGACCCCAACATCAAACAGTAACAACCTGATCGCCCACCCAAAACATCAAGAAGAGGGGTGTGACAGACACCATGCAGAAGTAACCGTGCAAGTGCAAGGCCAACCAAAAACAGTGACCATCTGGAGCTACAGACCACACGCTGACAGAATGGAGCCAACCAACTGCGCGCCCGCCGCAGTAGACATCTAGAAGGAAATCTGGTCCAGACTCCCCAAGGCGAGGAACCCCTCCTCCCCCCGCTGGTTTACACTGCTGGGGAGCACCAAGGAGACCTGGCCAACCTCTGTCACATCAGAGCCTTCATCCTCAGCATCGTAGCAGGAAACTTTGACAGCCATTGAAAATATCCAACGCCCGCAGCCTGCCCTCCTGTCTGTCCATGTGACGTGTCACCCCAGCATGGCTAGTTCTGTGGATCACCCTCACCAATGTGGCTACACAGAACCCCTGCACATCCCCTCCATCCATCGTATAGACCATATGTGGACCTACGCGCATCTCTGCAGGATGGGGGCTGTATTATATAGGGGCATAATATGTCTATTGAGTTTTGGGGCTGTGGTATGTAGGGTGTCACTTCCATACAAGAAGTTTGGGGGGTCATAAGTCTATACAGAATTGGGGAGATGTGCTAAAGAGGGGCGACTCATAAGTCTGTGCAGGACGAGGGGCTGTGGTATGTAGGGGGGTAGAATAGGTTTACACAGGATGGGGGTGCTGTATCAGTTGTCATAGGTCTATACAAGATTGAAAAGGGAGGGGGGGGCTGTGGTATATAGAGGGACATATGTCTATACAGAATGGGGGGCTGTAGTATATGGGGGGGGGGGGGGGGGGGGGGGAAAACAGGTTTGCGGTGCGCTACCCTGTTGTAATGGCATAGAGCTGGGCACCGTAGAAAATGGAGAGAATGTATTCATGATATTGGAATCAGAGAGAGCACGCTCTTGTAATGGCAGATGTGAGTACCCTGTGTTGTACATCTGTAAAGATACACATCATGACTACATAAAGAGAAGGGGTTTTGTGGTTGGAAAAAAAATGGCTTCTTACTTTTTTAGCTGGCTAATAGATTCAAAGCAATTTTGTCAAGCCCTGGCTTAGATGCATTGTCGAAAACGAAGGCAAGTTCTGAGCCTCTCTCATGTACAGCAACTGCTTAAAAAACGATAGGCAACCAAAGTTCCCGGCATGTAGGAGTCTCTTATTCTTTTATCTAGGTTTCAGCAATGAAGACAATGATTGTTTTGTTAAAATGCACTGAGTGTATTTTTAGCAAACACAATAATCCACGTATAAAGAGACAACATATGGTACATGACTTTTCCCTAAGGAGATCACATAGCAGATGGATTACATGCAATTACATATGAAAAGGGCTCTGACAAAACAAGCTTAATGTATCTGGAGAATAACAGATATAACAAGGTAACGTTGATGCCTTCATAACCTACAGACTGATCATCAGTTCTTACATCCTTGATGACATTTCTTAGGGTAACCTATTGATGCGACATTAGAAGACCATCTCCAAGGAGGATTCTGTACTTTCTTTGATACAAGTTTATTAAACCTGTCCTATGGGACATGGGGAGAGAATTCTCCTGAATGGAAACCTGTGTGTTTGCAAAGCAAGCATTATTTAAAGAAAAAAATTGAAAGGAAACATGTATGAAAGAAATAGAGAGGCTACCAATGCAGAATTGTCATTTTGAGAATGCTAGTTACTTGGTTGTGATGCAGACCCAGTCGCATTTGTATTATGAAACAGTAGTCTGAAACAAGAATCCTGATCAAGAGGTTTACTTGTGGTCTGGTTGCTTTTGGTGAATTAGAAAGCAATCAAGCTACTGAATTTGTATAACGGTCCAGCAACTAGCATTTTGAAAGAATATACCAATGTCTTTTACAACTCAGTACAGGTTTTCTATAAAGCCGGCCATACATGGATCGAAATTCAGCCAGTTCAGTATGGACCAGCCAAATTTCAATCTATGTATGGGCTAGCTGGTTGAACACAAGTTGATCTATCAGTCGACTTCTGTACAACCAGCCTGTTGGGTTTTTCCCCAAATGATCAGTGCTGCCGGCTATAGAGACGGCAACATTTGTCATTGTATTCTGCCAGCAAAGAAGGCTCCCCACCACAAAAACAGCAGCAAAATACAATAGGTCCTGTGGGAAGGATGTCCCCATCCACATCAAATATGTGGATGGTGAAATCATCAGCTCATTCTTTCCCCAGCATTTAACCTGCTGATTAGATTAAAAAAAAAAAAAAAGTCATGTATGGCCTGCCTAAGTCTTCTGGCATCACTAAAGTAAATAACAGATACAGTGTGCATGGCAAATGAAGTTTCTTGGCAGTCAGTATATTGTTTTTTTTTCTCAGAATCAAATTGTGTTTGTTAAGTGAATAGGGCACATACATGTTTCTAGTTCTATGACACTAGGCTCCATCTGATAGGAAAAGTGCTGACATGTAAAGAGCCTGAGCACCCAAACCACTTCCAACTTCTTAGGGTGCTTGCAAACAGTACTGATGCATGAACATCACATTCCTGGCAGAAATTTCCAGCCTAAAAATACAAGGATGAGCTGTATAGTAAATGCGCATATGCACACAGATTTTTCATTAAAAATTATAGGCTGCATTTAGTATAGCAAAAAAAAAAAAATTTTTTTTTTTTTTTTTTATTAACAGATTTATATCCCTCCAAATATATTCCTTCCTTCAATATAAGCATTAAGACCTGTTTTTTCTCAATAACTGAAAATTGAAGCTTAAGCTAGTTGCAAAACTTGGACACGATCTATTATTTCACCACACTGTATGTTCCTGTTGATTGAAGGTGACCCTTGAACTGATAGAAGGTAGCATAATGTATAGAGAATGCATAGAATACTCAGGGTGGTGGTTGCAGGCACAAACTAGGAGGGATATTGGAGGTAACTGGGTGATTCCCTCCAAGATATCAGGCTCACTCTACAAAAATAATCCCCAAAGACCAAAAAATCTGCTGGTAAGGTAATAATGCATAGGGCAGGGTACTCGGTGCATGCTAGAATATTCAGGTTAACAAACCAGCATCACCCAAACAAGGCTTTATGCCTTCTTCAATATAACATTTCTCAGAAACCATTCAAAATATCTAACCTGGTGCATGTTATTCGTGCTTTTCCCCAAGAAAAAACCGATTCTGCATCTATCTGGCTCTGGTTCTCTATAATCAACTGAATAACCATAACAAGGATCTAACAATTTCCTTAGGAGTCATCAGCCTTCAGAGAGGTTTAGAAAAAAATAGTTCCAATGTATTGAAAATACTGCTTTCATTAAATACAAGGAAGATCTCAGGTCTTTCCCGGTGGGCCTTTGTCCACTACACTCTCAAAACGGGGATCCGCAACCAGTAGATAGCGATCTGGGCTTGCTGACCCGCCATCCCAGAGCATCAAACAGACTGCAATGCAGAAGGATTACTTGTAAAGTTGGAGCTGTAGTAAGGAGCAAGAGCCACATAAGCAAATGCCTCCTCTGTAGTGTTGGATCCTGTACCATGAGGAGTGATGCCAACTACACTCCACCTCTTATCCCGGCTAGTAGTCTCCAGAGTGGTGTCAGCAGCAGGAAAGAAGAGATCTTCAGGTCAGTGTGAAGCAATACGTTGGGCATAATAGTATAGGGCTGCTCTCATACTGAAGCTCTGTGATCTACCCACACCCTGGATGCTGTGCAGTGTACCTACAGCTTTCCTGCGGGTTTGCTGTGCTTAGCCATAGACGCCTATTTCCTGCGGGTTTGGCGGACTTTCTAAAAGTGCACCAAAACTCCTGAATGCAGGAGTTTTGATGCAAT